GACACACACAGAGACACAGAGAGCGAAAGAGGGCAAGAGACTTGACTTTAAGAGACTCCTGCACTGACAACTCCATGCAGTTCGGAACAAGAACGGCAGCGACCGACTCTGGTTTCATGGGGACATGGCAGAACACTGACACTAACCTCTTATTCAGAATGTCCCAACAGGTACGTTACTTTCGTTTATTTTAAAACATGCAATTTTTGTGCCTTTCCCCCCCCTCCTCCTTTTTCTCTTTCTTTCCACGTTTCATTTTTGTTTCATTCATCACTACATAGTTAGCCTCTGAACTGTCATAACTATGTCATTGGAATGTGCATGGTTACTTCATTTCTTCCCTAAGGGCTCCTTTTTAAAAGAAGAAAAAAATATTAAAGCCTTAAGTAAAAGCAGAGCATTTGTTTTAAAGTTTCCAAATGGAGCTTTGCTCCGAGTAAGATTGTTTTTCTTTCTTTCTTTGCTTTTGTTTTGTTCCAGCATTTTCCCCTTTCCTATCCCCCCGTCCCATAAATAAAAGTATCTGCTATCCCAGGAAAACTCCTTTTTCTTCCTTAGTACATAAGCCCCCAAAATCAAGCTGATACTAAATTTAGGGGGCCCCTCAGAACGGCATAATTGACTTCATGTGGCAGAAATCAGTTTTATTCAGGGGGAAGGAGCGACGAGCTGTCCTGCTGGAGCTGCTGCCAGCACGGAGCTGAGGGTCGTTAGAGGAGACAGTTTCAGTCCTCGGGTCTCTCTTCTCCCGCTCCCTCTCCCCGCTTGCTCCCTCTCTCGCTCCCCCTCTCTCTGCGGAGCTGAGCCTTGGCGTCCTCCCCAGAGCTGCTCCTTCACCGGGGGCCGCGTTTAAGGCAGCTTGGTATGCCGGTTCTGACGGGAAAGCGAAAATGTTACTGCAAGGCCAGTTATAACTGATAATTAATCACAGGAGCCAGTGTCTCTGTACCATGCACTTGGTGATACGCGCCTTGTGTGTTACAGTAAATTTTGCACAATTGCTTGGCTCTTCTGGGTGAAGGGGAAGGGAAAAGGGGGGGGGGGGGGAAGGGGGAAAAAAAGGGGGGGGGGGGGGGAAGAGGAAAAAAAAGGGAGAGGAAAAAAAAAAGAAAAAAGAGAGGGACAAACTTTCAGCTTGGATGGGGCTCAAGCAGGGGAGGGAAGTTCAACCTGGAGGTTTTTAACAGGGTGACTCCCTACCAGGAGATGTTTTGCCCTTCTGAAAACTAGTTTCCAATTATGGTCTGACACTGATGGATAATAATTGAAATATTGTGTTAGCCAGATGAGGAGTTAATATTTTTTTTTAGTAATATTTGACTTTCTTTTAATGCTGGATATAAAACTGAATTAATTAATTTACCTGAGAGGCATTGTACTGTAAGAAAAGAGAGGGAAAGTAAATAGGTTTTTGTAGTTTAAAGGAACAAAGCATGCCTGAATACTGACCATAAACCAATATTTTATTATTTAAAAAAAACTTTAAATCCAAGTGAAACTCCAAAGCAGATAGTTATTAACCAATAGCGGTTGTCTGTGGGCTACCATTTAAGCAGTATAGCTCAGGACAGGATGAAGGCATTTGAATAAGGAATATTTTGATATATCCTGTAGAGGGACCCTGATTACTGCTGATACAGTATGCTGGTATAGAATGTAATCAACGTAAGGCAAATAGGCAACTCTGTTCAATTTTCCATTCTTGAAAGTAAGAAAGTTCATTTCCTGGTAGAGATGCATATTTCAATAATACTGCTTGGCACTAGGAAGTGTGAATTGTACTGCACTGCTTACAAACATTATCAGCTCTATGCCTGTCTGTGATACATAACATGTTTGGTTACACTGATATTAGGCAATGGCATGGAAAACAGTTATCCTAATTACCTGCTGTATTATTTTAGCAAGAAGTCAGATTAAATTTTAGGGGTGGAGGGAATGTTCTTTACATTTCAGCCACAAAAGAGTTAACATAACTAGATTCAGATAACAATCAATTGATAAATGATGATTGAGCCACATTGATAGCACTAGATTGCCTGTTTAGTATTAGATCTTTTTCAACAGATTTAGACTGTGTGGTCTTTTAAATACCAGAAAATGTTCAACACTGGCAAAGAAAGGAAATAAAACTAAATAGAAGAGCATTCACAATGTGTGAGGGGGTAAAATAATTTGAGACAACTAGCTTATTAAACTAGATCAAACGTGTATATACTCAAGCTAGGCTATTTGGTTGCCATTTTTCTTTTTAAATAATATTTTCATGTACTAATTCTTGAATGTTAACTGGATTTTGTACATTATTGAACATGAATGCCCATATATTCTGTATAGAAAGCGAGAAGTAATGTACTAAATGAATAAATGTGTGTTGGATGCTGCATCAGTGTGAATTGGCATACATACACAGTAGTACTGAAAAGGTGGTAATGGCGAACAGATTTATTTCTTAAAAGTCTGCTTGTGACACGTTTGCGTACTTGTTAATCCCCTTGTCCTATTTTGTTTGTTTGTTTATCATGTGCTGAACATATCCAGTGCAAATATGCTTTCATCATGATTTAAGAGGAGGGTAAATTATTTTGCTAAATGCATTTCTCTCCTCTTTAAGGATAGCATTTTTTGTCTTAAATTTCTGATTTGTTGGGACTGTTGTAACTTGCTGGCTTGCTCATACAGTGTGCAAGTGCAGTTACAAATTTGTGTCTAACTGCCAGTGTTTCTTTGTAAATCACTAAAATTTTGAATATTGTTTTCTGTTATCTATTTTCATTCATTTGCTAGTCAGTTATTTTCAGTCCATCTTCTGGAAATGTAAGTATTTTTTCAACTTTTCCTATGCTTTAACAAAAATTGTTTTCATGAGTACAAATAACATGAAGTTATGAAATGTACATAAGTTGCAAGCAAAGTTTGGCATGGTTTGAAAGAACTGTTTAGTGAAACTTTTCCAGCTATACACAGTAATGCTCGAGACATTTATCTTTTAAATTTCTAAGTGTAATGCTGCTTTTCCACATATTTTTAGAAGCAAACAAACTCTAAGCACCATCACTTTTCCTTGGAACTGTAACTTAATCTCAAGCAGGTTTTTAGTGGAAAAATTGAAGCATAGCAAGAAGATTTATTTAGAACAAAACAAAACCTTTCAATTCCTCCCTCCTCTTACCTCTCAACTCACACTGCATTGTTATTTGCATAATATATAGGAGTGAATAACTTTCCTCAGAATAAAATCACCTTTTTTTGATATGTGTCTTAGAAAAATTAGAAATTAGGATTGATTGTACAAGTTTGGACTATTAACAACTAGTATGATGTTAATATAATTTTCTACTATTTTCGTTTGCAAATGGGAGCACAAAAAATGGTATCTCCACATTCCAGAGCAAATTTAGATTTTGGTGGGGTGAGAGAGGAAAAGGAATACTATCCTAAATTACCTGTGAGAAGTTTATGACATGGCCACTTGACTGCATTGTTTTGCCTGTGTACCTTTTGTCCATGTAAAAGTCTGTGATTTGCTTGAAAGGGGTCATCCTTTCTGTATACAGAAGAATGTCTGATAACCTCAAAGGGCGTAAATCTTAACTTTTAAAAAGGAGTGCTTCTTTGGGTCACTTTGATCAGTGACAGGTCGAGAATGAGCAGAAACCCTTGGCTTCTTTTCCATGCTCATCTGGTTAGGTCCAGGGCACGCACTACCCATTCTAGTTCTAGCAAGGAGTTGTTAACAACAGAAAAGAAGGTCTGGGCTTGATTGATTAAAAAAAAAAAAAAAAAAAAGGCAGGCTTTTGTAATTGTCTGCTTTCATAAATGTTTTGTGCATTGGTCAGAAAAAGAAATGCCATTTTTCTTCATAGTTACCTTAAGGGCTGTAATGTTCTAAAATACTTAAAAGTCATTTCAGAAATGACACTGTGAGAGAAATGGCTGTAACCCACAGTGACACAAAATGCCAGAACCACCCACCTTTTTGTTGAGAAAAAGTATGTTTAATCCATTTCAGATAAAAAGGTAATAGCCTTTCCAGAAGCTATTTTCAACATGAGAGTGGAAAAAGCAGTATACAGAATTATAAATGGATCTGTGCATCATTATATAGTAATTTAGGATTCACTCAATGATGTAACAAAATTAACAACATAATTTCATTGTGTAACTGTATCTTATTAAAGAACAACTGTCTGACATTCTCTTACAGTTGCTTTATTTAACTTCATGCAAATATTATTAGTAGTGACATTTCTCTATTGTACATTAGATTCTCTCATTAGCATGATGTGTTAGTTATCACCAGAGAAATCACTTCTAGATAGGTGAGCGAGAAGCCAAGAAAACGAAAAATTAAATCAATGATGTATATTAATATAGACGCATCTGTTCACAAGAGATATGGTACAGTAAATTCAACTTTTTTTCCTTGCATAGATGCATGCTTATTCCAAGGAAAACGAAATAATACTTATAATATGTGGAGTATGCGCTTATATTACCAGAAGTATTAAATTGCATACAACGTGCACTGCCTGTTTTAAGCTGTGCTTGTATTCTTGCATCTGATAGTTCCTAGCATTGATGTAGACATAGGCACATAAACTGTTTATTGAACCTGTATTTAAAAATAGGAGAGTAGTGTAATGTCAAATGGATTGAAGGTGAAAGCTTTTTAAATGTTTCTGGGTTGCTGGTCATAGAGGTTGTATGCAATTTTAACATTTATTAAGTAATTAACTGTTTTACTGTAGCATATAACTATGTACATGTGAAAGGAGTTCAAACTTAATTTGACAACAGGCTGTAATACCATACATTGATTTACTATGAACATATTGAGAGGAAGATTGGCTTTGGTAAAATGCATTTCATAGTTTAAAGTAGCTAACAATCGCTTTTGTAAGTAAGCATCAGCAAATATAATAATCTTATAATTATATATATATATATATATATATATATCACACCATTTAAAGATGAGCTGAACCCTGGTGGGTTTTTCTCTTTTTTTATGCTGTTTGTGATTAAGTTAGTGTGCTAACATGAATTTAGAAGATTTATTGGTTACATTGTCTTATTTCAGATACTTGCTTTAATTTTTTGGGGTATTTTGGTAAAGCATGGTTTAAATGTGTACTTGTCTTTTTATCAAATCAAAAATATTTGCCTCAAGAATTTTTTGCTTCTTCCAATGTACCTGAGAATAGAAGCATTGGGAGATATTGTACCTGACAAAAATGCGGGATGTTTTTTGTAGCATATACAACTAGAGGCATACAAGTACATGCAATGGTAGATACATAGCTATGTGCATGATACATGATCAACAGTAAAAAATCCATTTCAACAGCTTCTCTCACTGTGTTTAGTATTTAAAGGAGAACTAAAATACAGCACATTGTTTCCCATTCCTTTTTATACGTATCAATCTTGCGCGTATACCCATACAGTGTTTGAACATATTTGAGCCATTCTGTGTCTGTTGATGATGTACTGACACTGTCAGAGCTTTGAGTTATGTATGCACAACACTGTAAAATCTGCATGAATCATTGAAACATATTAAATCACATGCTAAAATATATATTGTGCAATAAGTACTAGTGTTTAACAATTTAAAATACACAGTTTCATATTTTTTGATTTTGTATTTTTGTAGTTATTTATTCGTGTATGGTTTTATAGGGATTTGATTAATGTAGTGATGGAACAGATTTGGTATAAAACAGCAGCAGAGTCTCCTGCTCTTATGTCAGGGTTAAGAGCTAAGGCAAATCTTCCCTAACTAATTAGATGCTGAGTAAGGCATCTTAGTGAAGTTGGGGCAAAAGTGAATGGGTCACAGCTGAGGCAAGATTGCAAGGACTGTAGTGATAGTGAAAGCATTCACATTTGCCAGGTCATTGTGACACTGTGCTGATTGCAAAGGAACACCCTGTTCACTGATACAGAACTGCCGTCATAAAGTAGAATCAGAAACAAAAGCTTTAAAGAGCATGTACTTCTTACTAGAAATGCTCGAAACATATGCTGTGTATAGCTTCCTTCGCTCAGTTATTTTTCTTGAACAATAGTGCTTGTGCTGTTGTAAAAGGATTTGCTTTGTAGACTAATGTTTCTTCACAGTTTAAATGAATTTCCAAACTTGGGGCTCCTAGTATACCCAGGAGGTGATGAATCATACTGGCTCAAACGGGAGAAGGCTGAAACAGAGAAGAGGGAGAAAGGGAGAATTCCACTGTTACTGTCTCAGTCATTTAGTTCGGAAAGAGAACCAGTAATGCAACTTTTTGCTATAATTCAGAGAGTGTAAAGACAAAATTTCAGCATCTAGATAAACTCTAATCAAGGAGTTTATTTTTTCCCAGCTGACCTGTAGAAAAGAGTAAACTTCAAAAGCATTTTTATGTAATGAATTTCTATGTGTTTATATACAGATTTTCAATAAGGTAAAATACATTCTTTAGTTTAACATCAGTCTTTCTAACAAATGTCCAAGGTAAGAGACTGTACATCAGCCAATGGACGTGCATCTGTTGCTTTACTCTTCACCCCACTCATGATTGTAATACCCTAATGCCTCCTTTCCTTTATTGAAATACTTGACAACTGTTTTCTAAATTATTTTTGTTCACCGACAGAGAAAACAGTGCCGCTTATATGGCTGTGTCACACAATATTTTGTCACAGAAAGGCCATCTCTTTTGGAGGGCTGGGAGGTGAGCATCTCAGAATTGCTTTGATCAGTGTGAACTTGCCAACAGAATACCATTGATGCTATTCTGACTCTCTCGGGAAGCCATTGCATCCCCATCCTCTACTGATGATGCGTATCTGTGCACTTGTGCAAAGGAAAGGAGAGTGTCATCTGCCACTTAGAGAGCATGGGAGTTCAGACAAGAAAATGTCATGATTATGATCATGCTGTTCCCTCCCATGCACCACACAGAACTCAGCAATCTACTCTTACAAAGTGAATAAAAAGCGGTACTTTAAGAAGTTTTATGGAAAGTGAGAAAATTTATTCTGGGCTTGTCATT